CCTCTCTCCCTCTGGGCCTGTGTTACAGCAAGCTAACAGCGCGCGCTGAGGAATTAAAAAGTGATTCTCTCCACCTTCGCTCGCAGCACTTATCAATTATCACCAGCCAATATTTGCTGCAACGATAACATTAGTTATGCCAATAAATCCACCATGGAATGTTTCCGCTCTGTGTCTCAGAGGAAACAAGGGGAGGTTTGGGCAAATACCAAATCTAACTTTGATAGGAGCATGACAAAAAGATTTCATTACTGAAAGACAATTTCCAAAAAGAAACCTTTTTTCCGTGGTCCAATAATTGAAAAACAGGCTACCAGGAGTACTATCTCAGATCGGAGATCATAAGCTCAGCACCCGAGTGCAGTCAGCAGAGTCCATTCAACAAGTCAAACCCCTGGCTCATTGAAACAAGCTTTTAAATATGCCATGAGTTAGTTACAGATTCTTTAGAAGCTGCTGCAGCTCTGAACTCCTCTTTGATGGGCCACTTGAGACAGTGCAGAGGCGTTGGATGGGGGAGTGTGTGTGGGGGGGACTACAGGATATGGATAGAGAAAGTGACAATAGATTTTCTGATGATATGAGTCCCAGAGCTTGAGGAGCTTCAGCAGATTAATTGATAGTGAAATAATGAGAGCTTTGAACCATCCTGCCTCACCAGAGGACTCGTCTTCTCTCATGTCATTCGTTGCCCCGGCCCCTCAAACTATTTATGCATTTTTTTAATCTTTGTTTCTCTTCTACCCTTTGCCTAATTCATGCACTTCTTGACTGTTTCTGCTCTATAATTAACAGCTAAGTAAATCTAGTTGGAAAAGCATTTGTCCACAAGAAAGATAAAATACTTAATCAACTTCCCCTGATACAGCTTGATCGTATCTTACTGAAGCAATTTAAGGAAAAACAAAATGATTTTAACCAACTAAATTCAACTAATACTGTACGATATGTTCTAACTTTAAGGTGTTTGGTGCCTCAGAGTAACATGTACCACTTCCTGAAGGACAATTCCTGTAGTTTTTGCCATCTTTCCTTGGTAGTAATAACAATTACAATGTGTTAACAATGTGTCTGATATCTAACCGCTTTCTTCTCTGCCAAACATTTAAGCGATGTTACTATGGTCCCAGATCTCAACAATCACTTTAGTCGATACAGAGTTATCATAGCCTGTAGAACTACTGGCCAAAGCTACAAAAATGAGACCCAAAATTGTAATAAACCAGAATTTGGCTTCAGAGAGTGATTGCATTTCTAACGGCATGATAGTTGATAATTTACTTGTACTATTGAACTGTGTTCAAGTATACACTGAAACAAGACCCAGAGTCTACAGCCACGCTAGCTGCTCTGAGGTACAGCAGTGCATTGAGCTAAACACATCAGCATGCAAACATGCTCGCAATAACAATGTTAACATGCTGATGCTAAGTGCTTTAGCATAATTGAATGCTATCATTTGCTAATTAGCACTGAAGCAAAGTACCGCTGAGGATTCTGGGGATATCATTAGTTTTGCAGATATATAGTCATCATATTGACTTCATGGTGGTGCTAAATAAAAAGTCAGAGGATTACAGAAGATATTACCAGTCATCCTAACGGGGGACATGACTCTGTGCATCATCATTTATGGCATTGCTTCAAATAGTTGTTGAGACATTGACAACATCAACCTCATGGTAGAGGGGCAACATCAAAGTTATCAGGATTCATCGACCAAATATTTGACCACCGAATTCAAATTAGTCCATCCTTGAGTCCAAGTAGATATTTGTGTTAGGTGTAATGATATTACCTCCAGGCTTTCCTGAGATTTCACGTTCACGTGAATGGGAAAGATGTGAGGTCACAGTAACCTTGACCTTTGACCACCAAAATCTAAATAGCACATGCTTAACTTCACGTGGATATTTGCGGCAAATTTTAAGACATTGCCACCGGGCGCTCCTCAGAGACGAAAGTACACAAGGGCGGACAACCCAAAACAAAACGCTGCCGCCGGCCCAGAGGCATAAAAAAAACTGTAACTGCTCTTCCCCCACTAAAAATAAATGCAGTAAAAATATGAAGTGCTACGTGACAGTGATCTACAAACAAGAAAGTCTCATGGAAAGCAAACACATGCAGATGAAAGACTATACAGGCACATTTGTCAGTGGAAACTTCATTTCCCATACATAACTTGCCAAAAGACTAATTCACTTATATCCCTAATGACTCGCCAAGGTAACACCCATGGACCAGCTAACCAAATAAACGATGGTGAGCGGCACAAACAAATGAGAGCGACGTCATGCTGAAAAGGATGGAGACGTTCATTAAGCTCCGGGCTGGAGGAATTGTAGCAGCAGGACTCGGAGCACTGCGGCAGGAAGACGGATGATCTCTGAGAGAATGAGGGGAATACCAACTGTACCTGCGGGCCTCTGGAAACTTTTCTAATCAAGTTAGTGTATTTGGACTAAAAAGAAGGGGGGGGATTGAGGTATGCGGAGGATATGAATGAGGGACAATGGGGTTTATTCAGGTGCACAGAGTTTTATAAGGCAGTCAATATGCTGGCTCCAGAAACACATTTCTGTTGAGTACACAAACAAAAGGACACATTTGCAGAGAGACAAAGCTCCGTGTTGGGCTGCAGGCTTACTGGCCAAATTTCAAAATAATAGGAACTGGCCAGTCAAAGTGTCATTTTTCATGCACCAAACCCTGGTGCAAAAACATTACAGCTGTTTATGTTGCCCTGTAGAAAAGTGCTTCCCTCTCCTCATCCTCCTCCCTTCCATGTGACCTTGTGCATGAATAATGATCGTAAACACAAGAAATGTCTCCACATTCGGGTATTCATTGAAGTTTAAGTGGTTCCCATTTATTCTTATATTCCAGCATTGCCCCACCACACTGACTCGGAGCATGTGTAAAGCATATGTGAATGCCACAGTGGACACGTTTACGAGACTTTCACTTCCACTGGGACGTTCCAAAGTTTTCAGAGCCTATTGAAAGGATAAACAATTTTAAGTGTCAGTAATCTGGATCAATAATCTAGACTGTCTATCATCAAACATGAGCTTCATCAGCCTGCGGATGGATTTAGTGCTGGGCTCAGTTGTTGCTGCCATCTGCAACAGCACTAGAAATACTCACATCCTTGGTGATGGTGATGATATGCTCATAGGTTTGGCAGAGCTCAGCAGCAGCTGTTCTTCCGACCTCCTCCAGCGGCTCTCACACGTTCCTCTTTAGTAAATCAAAACCTTTTATTTTAACTTCTGCTGTGGTTCTCTTGGTGGATGTAACATCAATCACCGTCTCTGTGCTCTCCCACTATTCCGTCATCTTTTACTGAGGCTGTAATGCCTCCACTTGTTTTCAAATTGAAGGCTATTTTTCTTATATATGACACAGAGTATATCACCTTAATACCTGCATCACTCAAGTTATTTTTCACTTTCTTCAAATGTCCATTTGGTTTTATAGATTATGGATGTGGGAGTTTCCCAACTGCCTAATATGGCATTTCTGAGGTGGTGCAATTATGTTAATTGGCGATAATTAAAGTCGCATCAGCGTGCCTCACATTCATGAGTGTCAAGTTTTTCCCAATTTGCAATAACGATCATTAATGCATGAACGTCTGGTGAATCACACTCAGTGTCTGTGTTTACACCTCAAAGCAAGCTAAATGCTAAACTAACCATCTTGTCTCCTCATTAAAAGGAATAGTTTTGACAGTTTGAGAAATAAACACATTTGCTTTTTTTTTTTTTAATTGATACCACTCTCATGCCTGTGCAGGAAAATTTGAAGCTGTGCTGCGTGCTGTGCTGTGCTGGGACATGGAGATTGGACGTGGGGTTATACAACTTTGATGAAGGCTTAAGGAGTCGGGTACATGGGCACAAATTGCTTACGGTTTCCCACGACGCAGCGGTTTGAGGAACTAACTCTACGTAAATAACAGTAGGTTTTTGCACACAAGCTGAATAAATCTCCTAAATCTCCCATCAAAAACACTGGGTGTTTAACATGTGGACTAGCAACACACAGCTTAATAATTAACCACCAGGTAACTGAAAGGCAATGAGCGCTAACTTAACACAAACTATTTATTTTTCATCGACATGATCACATAACTGTCTCTATAACAGTTAGCTGAAGCGTCTGCTCACTGTTGGTCATCTATGCACACAGCATGTCATGTTTACCTGGATAAACTGGGCTGAGGTTGCTATGGTGATAATTACCGGCACCTTAACGAGCCCAAAGCCAGCAGCCAGTTAGCTTAGCTTAGCTTAGCTTAGCGCAAAGACTGAAAATACGAGAAAAAGCTAGTCTAGCTCTGTCCAAGGGTAACACAATTCACCCACCAGCACTTCTACAGGTCACTAATTAACAATGTGTTCAAAACGTACAGAAACAAATGTATAAAATAAATAGCACAATGCTGAATTGCTACAAGCCGTACTGCCAAACTCTTCCTTGGCTGTTTGCAGTGATTTTCCTGGATTGGCTGTCACCGTGAGTTTGGCAGGCAGCCAGCGGACCGTCCATGAAGATACTGAAGATACAAGGTGTCAAGTTTACACTCTATAAGTATGTGCGGATTGAACAAATGAGAAATAACATGTTACTTAGCTTCCAGTCATTGTACTCAGCTAACCTGCTGCTGAAGGCTGTAGCATCATATTTGCAGTAAAGGCACGAGACTGCCATAAACATTGTCACCTAAATCTTGGCAAGGAGGCAAATAAGTGTATTCCCCAAAATATCAAACTAATAAGCAGCTCGTAAATCTTCTCATTCACCTGGGGGAATTGTTATTTAATCACTGCTACGTTATACATTATGTTCAGTTATGCTACATTAAATTAACCTTTTCAATCTTTAATGAAGTGTACCCTTTTCAATTTTGATGAAGTGTAAATAAAGAAACTGATGAAAAACAAACAACAAAAAATAACACAAAACCACATGCACAAGAAATGTCTACTTACCCTGAGAGTGTGCGGCGACTGAACTGGCAGTCCAGTGACTTCCACCTGTGCCATGTCATCGGCGTGTGCACTGAGCCCGTGAATGAACAGGAATGGCCGGCTTTGCAGGACATCTCGTTGAGGCACCAGATTCAAATCTCCGTCCACGTAGAAGCTGGGGTCCGACACCTCGAACTTCACGTCCTCGTTCCCCACACAGTCATCAAACTCGACTGGAAGAAACACACAGAGAGGGTTTTATGTCATGCCTTCACATCCGAACAAATTACAGACAACAGAGATGTCAAGGAAATATCTGCCAGATGAAACACAGCCACGGAGGTATACGCTTCACTGTAAAGAAGAAGGGTTGCCAAACGATCCACAAAAAAATGAGTAATTCTCAGATAGAAACAGATGCCCTGAAGATAAACAGATACCCTGAGGAAAGAGGAGGAGGTTCTGAAATGTTCTGTCAGCTAGGCTACAATAAAAACCAGTGATCTCGATTCTCACAAGGCAGCTGCAATATTTATGACCCACTGCAAGCTACGCATCGTAAACTTATTAATGTGTCGGACTTGCCTTTACAGGCCTGTTGCATTTACTACGGAGAATGCACGCGCCCAAGACTGGATCAGGAGAAAGGATTTAAAGTTACAGGAGGAGAAAAGTGTCACCTTTGAGTTCGGTGCATGTGCACATGTGAGCTTGCTTTGTCTGACCGAGGGAGATACCGCCAAGGACTCTACCAGGCTTTATCCCTTGATATCATGCTCATCCTCTCTTTATCCCACACACTCCCGTCGTTGTCGTGACATGATCCTCATGTCCTCCCCCACCCTCAGCCCTGACGATCCTCCCCTCCCTCATTCTTCACCTCCTCTTTACCTCGGCCTCCCGTGATGCATCCAGCTGTTTGTGGATGTTGGAGGGAGGGGCGCCAAAGAAAGTCTGTGTGCGTGGATGTGTACACGTGTTGTTGATCAGGAGATCAGGTGCAACATGAACCACATGGTACTGTACAACTCTCAGTGTGGGTCTTTAAGTGCAGGGAAATGTCAAGCCTGTGTCTATCATACAGTGGCTTATATAAGTCTCCATGGGTTCTTTTTTCAATTCTGTTTGAGGACTTGCCCGCAACGACAAACAAGATATAGCAACAGGATATATTCCATGTGACATGACAGCATTATTCATGCAGCCACATATTTCTGGACTGTCTGTTACCAAGTGTACAAAAAGTACTAGACCATCGTAAGAACAAGGACAAATCTAGATGGGGAAAGATTATGTTTCTCCACTCCACCGGGACGAGAACAGAACAGGACTGTCGAGACAATGCCCTAAATGACTCATCAATTATGGATGCCATGCTTTCAGCTTAACATAACACAGGAAACTCCGCGGTAGCTCATAACCAGCAGAAGGAAGATTCACATTGAGAGGCCATTATTCTGAGGAGGGAATGGATTCAGATTTGAGCCCATATTTATGAAGTTTCTCCGAGCAGCTCGTGGATCAGTGGTGCCTCTCTATAAATAAAGCACAGCTCCCGTCACCGGTGCAAAGGCGGTGCCCCTTCTCTGCTGAACCGGCTCATTATAAAGTTAAAACCAACAACCTGTAACTGCCTCGCCTACCTTACAAATACAATGTATTATAATCATCGCCATACAAATCTAACAACAGTAATAAACACATTGAGTAAGCTTCAGCAACAGCTTGTTTCCAATAAAAAGGAAGGATCAGTAATGTCAGAAATATTTGCATTTGTAAAATGTATCAATTGTGTAATTTGTTTTATACTTTTTAACATATTTTGGAGATTTCTAACATATTATTTTGGGCACTACTTTTTCTTTGGACTATATGTTCTTTAAAGTTAGAATACTCAGGTAATATGTTATATTTGTTGAAATTATATCCCGACCGCAATGCTCAGACAAAAAAAGAGAAAAGCACCTGGTATCAGTGTCTGTTGCAGGACTATAATAAACAAAATGAAAGTCTATCTTCCTGTCTACCTGCGCTCTCATTGCTCGTCACCGGAGTCCTCCACAAGCTGCTTTACAGCTGTGAGTACTAACAACAGCCATGTTGGTTGTTTAGGTTGATTATGATAACTTTGGGGTAGTGGCTTTGGAGGGAGGCCTGAAGGCAACACTGGGATGTTTTTCTGGTCTGACTTTTTTAATATCTGGCGTACTCTTGCTTGTTTCATAAGATTACCAACCCTAGCTTCAAGATTTTCATGAGATCAAAGTCAATGTCAAGTACCTTTTTCATTATTAACTAACTTTTTTTCATATTTCAACAATAGCCATTCAATGAAAAATGTATTGAGGTCAGCGCTGATAGTGATTGCTCATCAAAAAGTGCATCAACAAAACAAGGCATGGCCTTTTTCTGTATATTTTTCATGGGGGGGGGGGAGCAGCCACACTGAGCTGGTAGAGGAAAAGATGCAGGAAACAGGCTGCACAACTCAAACTTTTCAGCAAAGTAGTCAACTTTACTGTTCCCTGCTGTTGTGTGGGAAACTACTTTTGTGGTGTGCAGCGTGAAATCTGATTGCATGGTGGGGAAAAACATCCACTACTGACTGACTTCTCTTTAGTTTTATGAAAACGTTTGTTTGTCTGTGGTGTACACGGATACAACATTTGCTTTTTGGTCGTATTTCTGGCAAAGTTGCTGCGATGTGATGTCCAAAGAATGAAACTGCACTGGTGTTTTTAAATCAACCAGTATACTGAAATCTAAAGGATTATGACTTCAAAATTACATTTTTATCAATGATTATTAAATACAATTCATATAATTTGAGTTTATAGGAGAATCAATCAGCTTCCCACTTTTGTTGCAGGTTTTGGTTTATTTATAGGTATATGCATGAAAGCATTTGCACGTGTGTTGTGTATGTGTGTATAAGGCAGTCTTGGTGTATGAGTTTTACTAATGCACAAACAAATTAATAATGTGGACATAATAAGAATCCATGATGAGTGCCACCATATGAAAAACACTAGCTTCATACTGGGCATACTTAGTTTACTTGAAACAGTATCTCATTTCAGGATGATGTGCTGACTAGGAAGCACAAACGCACTGTAATTCAGCCGTAATAACTGGTAGTTCGAGTGCATACAGAGTAGCAGACAGTAGTGGAAGGCAATGGAAACCACTGCTGTAGCTGACACATAATGTTTCACTGCTGAGAGTTTTCATGTTTCCCATTTAAAGCAGATGCTATTGTTGCTCGCAAGACTCCACCACCTACGTGCGTCCATTCTCTTCTCTTCTTATTCTTCCGCCCTCCCTATCGGTTTACCTCGCAGAAGCAACGGCTGGGTGTCTGACATAAACTCATCAATCCGTACATGTCTATCTTCCATCATGCCAGCTCCAAGTGAAATGGGAAAAGTCCACGGTTGGGACTATCAAATCAATAGACTGAAGTCTATCGAAGGACTCATTTAGTACACTTAACCTTTGTGACTGTTTAGTCTGGCTTCTTTCTTTTTTTTTTGTATCTATCTCACTGCAGATCATTTTAAATCTTCCCTCTGGACAGAATCGTTTTCTGCCATCTGGATGAGGTGAAGAACAGAATACCAGAGTGAAGAATAGAGGGGAGAAAAAAAAGAAGGGTAAGTAAAAATGACAGGAAAGGCAACGGTACAATGGACACTGAGGGAGAGCTACAAAGTCAACAACCTACTCTCCAGGGAAACAAGGCTCCATCTCAATATTCAACTCTCACTTCTAAGCCAAAGCATGAAAGACGTGTTCATTTCCATTCCCATTACAAGCCTCAGATTTATTTCAATAACGGGTGCGCTCTTTAGAGCCTGCAAATTGCGGCGCCAAACAGTGTCAGTGGCATTTCAAAGGCAGCCAGAGAGTGTTTGATGGTATTCTAATGTTGTCAGGTTTTGGGGGATTTCAGCGGAGAGCATGGTGAGCTGGCAGCTTTGAAGTCAGGCGACAATGACAGAACGCAACTTACCCCGCTCACCACCAGCACCACCGTGCAGCACCCACTTTCTTTCTTCGGAGAGCTGTCTCAGCTTTAAAATAACTGCGCACAACATGGATTAGGGTCGCCAAAATCCCTCGCTGATGACTCAAGAGGAGGAGGAGGGTGTGTGCGTGGGTGTTCAACTTTTTCCTCAAGTTTGACATTCAAGCTTTTTTCAGGCCAAAAAACTCCTGCGGAGCCTGTGAATGGCAAATCATCCAGAAAGTCGGTCCGCAAAGGCACTTGGTTACTGAAGGCTTGATCGCTCCATCATCGCTCTTGGCCACAAAAATACCACTTTAAAAGTTCTCATTTAAGCTTTTAGCGAGAACAAATTATAGTCACCAGATCTTGTAGGGATTGTATGACTGAGAATGAAATTCAGGCACCTCATTGAATAATGTCATTTACAGAAAAAACTAGGATTCTGCACCCCATTTTACACATTTTTTCTTTTACAAATTACACAAAACTGTCAACCACTGCAGTGTTAGTTAGTTAGTTAATTGCATAACTTTCTATGTATCCTCAAAAGAATATACTGTATATATATACATTTTGCTCATCACCATGTCAGTTACCTTCTAAGAGATCAAACATGACAAGATGTCCCAGCAACAATGAAAACAAAACGTCTCCACAAAATAACTGCAATCTAGATTTCCTCCCTCTCAATGATGAAGAGGTGACGTCTAACACTATCAGAGCCTATTTACATTGGCTCCACTTTGTCAGCCACATAAATTGGATTCCTTCCCCTCCTCCGTCAGAAACTAAAGTTTTCCTTTGAGGTGTTTTGAAGACAATTTTCTGTCTTGTAACTAAATGTCAAGTCTCCATGATGGGAGAGATGGGAATCAGAGGAGTAATCTCAAAGGTGGCAGCACGGGTGTGTTTGAGCTGATAGCTGCCGTGTCGAACCAGACGGAGTGTGCTCAGCCTCATAGAAAAGGCTCAGGAGAACACCGTTCTCAAATAATCACTTGGCATTAGAGAAGGAGCTGCCTCTGAAAATGTATTTATACCCCGAAATGCAGTTTCCTATCACAGAGCATTGTGTAAGACCCATTATTGGGATTCAGTGGTAACAAGGCTGTGGCTTTTTAGCTGCAAAGATAACGATTTGAAGGATTTTTGACAACTAAGGGGGTCCTAATCTTTCATCTTGGGTTTAACAGATTTTTAAGACCCCCCCCCCCCCCCACCTCC